TGTTAGAAACTCACACTCTACCCAAACTGGCATAAACAGAAGTAGAACATTTCAACAGATCCATCACAAAGGAAGAGATTGAATAGGTCATAAAAAAGACTCCCTAAAAAGAAAAATGTCCTGACCCACATGGCTTCACAAGTGAATTATACTAAACATTCATAAATTAACAATCAATAATTCTACTTAAATTAGTATAAAAAAAATAGAAAAATAGGTACACTCCCAGAGTCATTCTATGAAGCAAGCATAACCCTAAGACAAAAACCAGACAAATATATTACAAAAAAAGAAAGCTATAACTCTCATGAACATAGATGCAAAAATTCTTAACAAAATCCTGGCCAACACAATCTAACAGTTTATAAAAAAAGTAATTAATCATGACCAAGTGGGATTTATAACAGGTATGCAAGAACACTTCTACATAAGAAAAATAATTAAGAAATTCATCACATTAACAAAGTAAACAACAAGAACGACATGATTCTATCAATTGATAAAGAAAAGGCCATTGGCAAAATCCAAATGCCCTTCCTGCTTAAAATGCTCAACAAAACAGAAATAGAGGAGAATTTCCTCAGCACGTTGTTGTTGTTATGTGCTGTAGAGTCGCTTGCGACTCATATCGACCCTATGTACAACAGCCCTAAACTCTGCTCTGTCCTGTGCCAATCACACTGTCTCTGACACTCCCATCCCAATTATCCCAGTCACTGAATCAATCTACCTCATAGAGGGCCTTCCCCTCCTGCGCTGTCCCTCCACCCTCCCAGGCATGATGTCCTTCTCCAAGGACCAGTCTCTCCTCACAACATGTCCAAAGTATGTTAGACGGAGCCTCAGAATCCTTGCCTCCAAGGAGCCACCTGGTTTAACCCTTTCCAGGACGAATCTGTTTGTTTTCTTAGCAGTCCATGGTATTCTCAATGCTCTTCTCCAGCACCACAGCTCAAAGGCATCAATTCTCCTTGGTCATTGTCCAACTCTCTGATGCAAAACAAGTGATTGCGAAGACCATGGCCTGTATCAGAAGCACCTTAGTCTCCAGGGAGACACCATTGCTCTTACTCTGGAGAGGTCCCTAACAGCAGACTTTCCCATGGCAATGTGCCTTTTAATTTCCTGGCTACTGCTGACAAGAGTGTTGACTGTGGAGCCAAGCAAACTAAAGCTGTGTACAATCTCAATCTCTTCACCATCCATCCTGATGCTGCCAATTGGTCCAGTGGTGAGAATCTTTGTCTTCTTGACATTGAGCCTCAATCCATATTGTAGGCTGCAGTTCTTGACCCTTTGCAGCAGTTGCTTCAGGTCCTCTTCAGATTCAGCAAGCAGGGTTGTGTCATCTGCATAACGCAGATTGTTGATAAATCGTCCCCCAGTCTTGACCCCACATTTCTCCTCATAGAGCCCAGCCTCCTGGACAATCTGTTCTGCATATAGGATGCATCCCTGGCATACGCCCTTCCCAATTTTGAACCATGCAGTGTCCCCTTGCTCTGTTCTGATGACTGCCTCCTGGTCCAAGTATAGGTTTCGCATTAGAATGATCAAGTGTTCTGGGATTCCCATTCTTCTCACAGTCAGCCACAGTTTGTTATGATCCAGTCAAATGCCTTTGCATAGTCAATAAAACACAGATAGACATTCCTCTGATATTCTCTGCTTTCAGTATAGTGCAAAGTATATATGCAAAATCAAGAACCAACATCATTCTCAATGGAGAAAGACTAAAGGCATCCCCCTTGTGAACAGGAACCTGGCAAGGCTACCCACTATCACCACTCCTATTCAACATTTTATTGGAAGTTCTAGTTAGGTCAAAAAGAAACTAAAGGAAATGAGAGCCATTAAAATTGGCAAAGAGGTGGATGAAACTGTCACTATATAGAGATGACATTATAGTGTACCCAGAACACACCAAAGTACACAAAAGGAAACTAAGAAAGAATGCAAAATCATTTCTAAAAGCCACCCACAAGATAAAATACTTGGGAATACAATAAAAGACCTAACTAAATGGAAAAATATTCCCTGTTGATGGATAGGAAGACTGAACATTGTGAAAATGATAATCCTACCAAAAACAATCTACATGTTCCATGCAATCCCAATACAGATACCAAACTCATTCTTTAAAGAGATGGAAAAGGCAATTTTCAAGTTTGTTTTGTAAGAAGAGTCCTCAAACAAGCAAAGCTCTTCTGAAAAATAAAAAATATGTGGGAGTCATAGCATAATTACTGTTCTCAAAACCTTCTACATAGTCATAGTAAACAAAACAGCATGATATTGGTATAATGACAGACACAAAGACCAATGGAAAAGAAGTGAGAACCCAGAAATCAAGCCATTTACCTACAGTAAATTGGTATTTGACCAGGAAATTAAAAAACCTATCAAATGGGGAATCGACAACCTCTTTAACAAAAGGTGCAGGCAAAACAGGGCATTTACTTGCAGAAAATTGAAACAAGATTCACATTTCACAGTATACACAAAAATCAACTCAAGGTGGATCAGACACGTAGGAATAAAACCCAAATTCTAAAGGATCATAAAATACAAAATGGGGCCAAATTTAGAAGCCTTAGCCTATGGAATAAATAGACTTGCAAATATAGCCAAAACTACACAACCAGGAAAGGGTAAAACTGACAAATAGGATCATCTGGAAATCAAATTCCAGTGTGCATCAAAACCTTCCTCTGATAAAATGAAAAGAAGGCTTACAGACCAGGGAAGAAATGACAATTCAAACAAGGTTTCACAACTAAAGTTAAAAGAATGCTACAGGGTCTCCTTAAGAAAAGACTGGTAACACAATCACAACATGGCAAAATATAGGAAAAGACTTCACAAAGGAGGACATTCAGATGGCCAACAGATGCAAATAACAATATCTCATCTCATTCCAGTAGCAATAGCAAAGTTGAAGAGGAAAGCAAGAGATAAAAACTATCCATGTCCATCTATTGGTCACAGAGTTTTCGAATTACACTTGGAAAGTTTGCAGTCAGGGACCTATCCAAATTACTGAGGAACAAAGATGTTAGTTTGAGGACTAACATATACCAGATTGAGACCATGGTCTTTTCAATCACTTGCTTTGAATCTGAGAGCTGGACAGTGAATAACAATGACAGAAGATAAATTGATGCCTTAGAACTATGATGTTGGAGGAGAGTACTGAATATTACATGGAATTCAAAAAGAACAGCTATGTTCTAGAGAAGGTGAAGCCAGAGTGTTACTTGGAGGGAAGAATGGCAAACCTTTGTCTTACTTTGAGCATGTTGCTAGGACAGGCTATTCTGTAGAGAAAGACATCACACTTAGAAAGATAGACGGATGGCAAAGGAGAGACTTTCAACTAGGTGGATTGACACAATGACTGCCAACACTGGATCTGAGTGTGTTAAGAGTTTGTGCTGAAAGCGTAATACAGGAAGGGTTCACATTTGTGGTTCATAGGGTCACTATGAGTCATACTCTACTTGATGGCATCTAACGACAATAACGAGAAGCAATAAATGCTGAAGAGGATGTGGAGAGATTGGAACACTCATGCGTTGATGGTGGGATTATACAATGGTAACCACTTTGGAAAGGAGTTTGATGTTTCCTAAAAAAGCTGACTGAGGCTCAATGTCAAGGAGACAAAGATTCTCACCACTGGAACAATTGGCAGCGTCAGGATGGATGGCGAAGAGATTGAGATTGTTCACAGCTTCAGTTTGCTCGGCTCCACAGTCAACACTCTTGGCACCAGCAGTCAGGAACTCAGAAAGCGTATCGCTATGGGAAAGTCTGCTGTTAGGGACCTCTCTAAAATATTCAAGAGCAACGGTGTCTCTCTGGAGATTAAGGTGCACCTAATACAGGCCATGGTCTTTGCAATTGCTTGTCACGCATCAGAGAGTTGGACAATGACTAGGGAGGACAGAAGGCGAATTGATGCCTTTGAGTTGTGGTGCTGGAGAAGAGTACTGAATGTACCATGGACTGCCAAGAAATCAAACAGATTCATCCTGGAGAGGATTAAACCAAGCAACTCCTTGGAGGCAAGGATTCTGGGGCTTTGTCTGACATACTTTGGACATGTTGCCAGGAGGGACGGGTCCTTGGAGAGGGACATCATGCTTGGGAGGGTGGAGGGACGGCGTAGGAGGGAAGACCCTCTATGAGATGGATTGATTCGGTGACTGGGGTAATCGGGATGGGTGTATCGGAGGCAGTGCGGTTGGCACAGGATAGAGCAGGGTTTAGGGCTGTTATGCATAGGGTCACTATGAGTCGCAAATGACTCGACGGCACATAACAACAACAACAACAACTAAAAAGCTGAACATAGAAATCCTGTATGACCCAACAACTGTACTGCTAGGAATATACCCTATAGAAATCAGAACTGAGACACAAGCAGAGATATATGTTTATGTTTATAGCAGCATTATTCACAATTTCAAGAAAATGGAAAATGCCCAATCGAATGAATTGAGAAACTGTGGTAAATTCACACAGTGGAATACTATGGAGCACTAAGGAACAATGACTTTGTAAAATATTTATATAACATAGGCAAGTCCAGACAGCATTACGTTGCATGAAATAACCCAACCTAAAATGACAAATGTTGCATAAAATCATTATTGTGAAAATAGGAGGATAAATGAGAAAAATCTGCAAAAAACAAAAGATCAAATTGGGAAGAGAAAAGGGGACAGAAAAAGCAGAAAGAAGGTAATAACTAGGAGTGCATTGGTTAGTGGGAAGATGACCAGGTAAAGGAACAGGAAAGAGCTAATGAGGGTTGGAAAAAATGGGATCATACTAGGCAAAGATTAACAGTAATTATATCAAATACAATGTATATAAATTATTGCATAAAACACAATGTACATAAATGAAACACAATGTACATGAATGGTTATATTCAAGCCAACAAAAAGTATGTAAAAACAAAAATCCCTAATATTAGGTTTGTCAAAGCTTACCAATGGGAGTATTGTCTTTAGAGAACCTAAAGTCCTAAAGGAATTTCTAAAATCATGCCCCCACTCTGAAATACAGTGAGCTTCATCCACAGCAATAAGTGTGATACCTAAAAGAAATAAACACATAAATTAAACTTCAAAAGGGAAAATCAACTCATCTAAATCAGTATCAAATTCTTCACTTAGAATACGGATATATAACAAAAATAATGAATAACGAATAATTCATGCCAAAGTAATACAAAAGTAATATAAAAACATATAAAAAAGTAATATTTAAAAAAACCTAGCAAATAAAACAAAACATCATTATTAAGAGAAGACATATAATGGATTAAGAGCACAAGAGTAATTCATGTCAAAGTAATATAAAAACATATAAAAAAGTAATATAAAAACAAAAAAACCCAGCAAATAAAACAAAATATCATTATTAGGAGAAGACATATAATGGATTTAAGAGACAAGAGTAAAAGAAATACATGTGTGTGTGTGTGTGTGTGTGTGTGTGCGCGCGCGCGCGCGCGCGCACGCGTGTATATAAATAAATATTCAAACATATTAGACTTCAGCTTCATTATTCCTCTAAGAAATTAATTGCTTACCATTAGTTTGCCCTAAATGTTACTACTAATATTCCATCTGTATGAGTAACCTAAAAAGAGCTCGTTGGGGTTTTTTTTATCCTTGGTTGTTGTTGTTACATACTACTGAGTCACAGTGACCCTATAAACCACTTTTATGAATCCTGTCCTATCCTGTGCCATCCTCATAACTTCAACATACTAGAACCCACTGCTGCAAGTCACAGGGTTAATCCACTTGTTTGTAGGTCTTCCTCTCTTTTGTTAACCCTCCATCTTTCCAAGTCTGATGTTTCTGTCCAAGGAATAGTGTCTCCTAACAACAAGTACAAAGTATGTGAAACAAAGATTTGTCATCCTTTCCTCCAAGGAACACTCTCACTGCCCTTTCTCTAAGAAATATCTTATTTTGTCAGTCCATGGGATAGTCAGTACTCTTCTTCAACACTACAACTCAAAGGCATCAATTCCTTTTCTGTTATCCTTCCTTATTCATAGTCCAGCTCTCAGATCCTTAGCAAGTATTTAAAAGACTATGGCCTCAATCAGGCGCACCTCAGTTTTTAAACTGACATCATTGCTCCTTGGAATTTCCATCAAATTTATTACACAGATTAGCTATTAAAAGATAAGAGAATCAGCACATTTCTTCTTTCTTTTTTTTATTAGAAAACAGAAATTTTATTATATAATTGTTAGGCTAATACTCAAAATGGAGGTTGAAACTCAACTCAGAAAGTCCCATGGCAAAACCCAAACATAACAAACAAAATGAAGAATCAGACACTTAACAGGGCTTTAGAAACTTAATGTTCTAGTGAGTGAACTGCTGCATGGCCAACTCACCCCATAATGCTTCAACTCATCAATAACCTGCCTCATGCAAATTACACTACCTTGCTTGCTCAAAGTGAGGAGGACATTGAAGACGTGCTACAGAGGATCAAAAACTACAACCATGAACATGGATTGTATGTCAATGTCATGAAGACAGAGGGTGTCACCACTGGACAGCTGAACATCAGGAGACACAGAGAAACAACTGCTCCATCTTGAGAGTGTATGATTTCATCTTATTTTCAACAATTGAAGCATCAGCAGCCAGGATATCACAAGGCACATTACATTGGAAAATTCAGCTGTCAGAGACCTCTCCAAAATCCTTGGAGCTCTGGTGGCACAGTGGAAAGAAGCTGCACTGCAATCGCAGAGATACGTGGTTCGAATCCACAGATGCTGTGCTGGAGGAGGAGGAGCAATCTCATCCTTTACCAGTCAGATCTGATTTGACGGTATGCACATAAAAAATTTAAAGAAAAAAAAATCCTGGGGAGCAAGAATATGAGTCTGAAAACCTAAGGCATGCCTGGCTCAGGCCATGATCTTTTCAATCACTTGCTGTGCTTATGAGAGCTTGACAATGAGTAAGACTGAAAGAAGAATTGATGCCTTCAATTTATGGTGTTGGAATACTGAATATCCCATGGACTGCCAAAAGAACAAACAGTTACGTCTTTGGAATAGTGCAGTCAGAATGCTCCTTGCAAGCAAGTTTAAGTCTCATGTTCTCTGCCTTGTTCTTAGAGGGGGATCTTCTTTACAAGGGGACATCATGCTTGGAAAGGTGAAGGTCCATAAAAGATAAGACCTCAATGAGATAGACTGGCATAGTGACTACAGCAATGGCTCAAGTGTGTCACAGACGATGAGGAGGATGCAGGTGAGGGCAGGCTTCATATAGGGTTGTTTATAGGATCGTCAATGAACTTTCCTCTTTGAAATATTTGTGTTTATTTTCCCTGGATTGACCAACCCTGGATTAATTCATCCAGTTGTATGACAGAACAAATGACGTGTTAAACACCACAGTGTGCCTTGATACCTAATGCCACTAACAGAACATTTATTCTCTGCGTTCATGACTTTTATCCCCGAGGGTACAGTTTGTAGTCACGCAGTGAGGAAGAAATTCTGCTCAACTCTCGTCCTCAGTGAAGATCTTGGGATTTTGCCTGTGAGTTCTGTATGGTACATAATAATATATTATTGGACACTGAAGGTACCACCACAGGGACGACATTGAGGGATAGGAGCCCATTCACTCTATCCTTAGGATTTCTCTGCTGGGCCAACTGTGTTATCTCCCAACGGTCCACCTTTAGTAACAGGTGGTCCCACAAGAACCATGTCCCTCTAAGCGAGGAGTCCACCATTGTATGCTGATGACTTAAGGGCTACAGAAGGCCTCCTTTAACTCACAGGGCTCTTTCCCTAGAGCTCACTGCTAAGGAACAGCTGTGGTTTGTCAGGGCCGGATCTCTAACCTTGACCACTGCCACATGCATCTCCTTTTGGTGTTTTCTCCTATGAAGACAAAGGCTGGAGAAGTAGGAGAAAGCCTTTCCACACTCCTGGCAGCTGTAGGGCATCTCTCCTGTGTGTAATCTCCGATGCATGGTGAGAGCTTTCTTGGTGTGGAACGCCTTCTGGCACTGGCTGCAATGGAAGAGCTTCTCTCCCGTGTGGATCTTGTGAAGCGTGGTGAGGCTCGACTTCCAGGAGAAGCCTTTGCCGCAGTAGCTGCAGAACTTGCCCATGTGAAACGTCTGATGAGTGATGAGGCTTGACTTCTCTCTAAAGCCCTTGCCACACTCCCCGCACAGCTAGCGCTTTTCTCCCGTGTGAATTCACAGGTGGAGGGTGAGTCCTGCCTTATCGCAGAAGCCTTGGCCACAAACCGCGTTCACGTATGGCTTCTCTCCTGTGTGGGTTCTCTGGTGGATGATGAGATTTCTCTTACTTTTTAAACCTTTGCCACATTCACTGCATAATTAGGGCTTCTCATCAGTATGCATCCGCTGGTAGACAATGAAAACCTTGTCTCTGAAGCCTTTGCCCAACTCACTATAGATGTACGGTTTCTCCACTGTGTGGATTCGCTGATGCACAGTGAAGATAAATCTGGAGACTGAATCCCTTCCCACACTCACCGCACATGTGCTGTTTCTCTGCCATATGCGTCTTCTGATGGTCACTGAGCTGCTATATCTGGAGAAAGGCTGTGCCACACTCCATGCATTTATAAGGCTTTTGTCATTTATGTGCTGAGTGGTGATGGTCATGGAACGTTGACTTTATAAAGAAGGCTTCCCCACACAGACTGCATCGATAAGGCTTCTGTCCTAAGTGGAGGAGGTGATGGTCCGTGAGGGTAGACTTTCTGTGGAAGGCTTTCCAACACTCGCTGCAGGCATGGGGCTTTTACTCTTCTCAGATTTATGCTTAACAGCTAGGGACTGGTCGGGCTGCATTTCTGGGTCTTGGGGTATTTGATTTCAGTACCAAATTGCTCACGGCTCACAGGAACCAAGGCTGTCTCATCTTTGAGAGGCTCAGTGGAATTCTTTACATCCTCACTTCTGATCTGTGTGACGGAGGGCAAGCTTAAATTTGACGTCACACCTCTTTGACGGATGTCAAACATACAGTGACTTTCCCTTAAAGGAAGATGAACTGTATTCTGATGAGTGGTGTTTTCGGAAGCAGTTTGTTTATAAGACTGTCTTGTTCTCTCGACTCTTCTTACATGCTGGAACCATGCAAGTGGATGACCACCAACATCCCAGGTTTCTAAGAAAGAAGAGAACAAATCACCCTCCCTTCCACTTGCACTGGTTTGGAGGTATTTATGAGAAGTTGTTATTGATATGGGTTCACTCTTCGATATCAACATGCTCAGTGTGTAAAGAAAGTCTCAGGATTATTGCATATCGACAAACACCGTGTAAAATAAACTTTTAAGCAACAAAGGACATAGCATAGAAATCACACTCTGTGTTCATGACTTTTATTCACTCAGGATAATTTATAGCATGGGAAGCCAATACTAAATATTTGTAACAAACTGAATGCTATTTCAGGATTGGGGGAGGCATGGTTCAAGGGAGAATTCACCCTGAGGCACTAAGGCAATCCTTAAGGGTTTACTGGATTCTTGCATTGTACTTGCTGAACCCTCCTCCCCTCCTGAGTCTGTAGGAAGGTTTTCAGTAGAAATAGCTTAGCTTCATTTACTTTGAATCCTTTGTGACTAAATTCCTGATAATTTTCAATAAAGATACAGGGAAGGTGGAATAGTAGAGGCCTTCAGTCTGGAGAACTGCTGGCCCCCTGTTTTTCAAGGTCTCTGTTCTATATCATTCCTGGTAGTCTGTCTCATTATTAATAACTAATTATAAAAAGAGTGTACTCTTAAAAAAGAGAATATACTGTCTGTACCATTACAGTCTAACAGTGAGGTAGAAATGTTGCTCCACTCTCAACTTCAGTGAATATCTCAGGTTTGACCTAGGAGTTCTGAAGGGTTTATAATATATAATTAGATAATGAAGGTACCACCGCAGGGCAGACATTGAGAGATATGACACCATTCACTGTATCCACAGGATATTCTGCTGTGCAAATTCTGTTATCTCCCAATGGTCCACCTCTGGCAACAGGCTGTCCCACAAAAACCACGTCCT